CTGTTGGAATGAGATGGATGGATGGTTAACTCCAGTTTATTAGGATGTGGCATTTAAATAGAGAAACCGATTCAATGCATCACTGAGCACTCAGCTCAGTGTTTTATTTTACCTCTCTCTCGCTTTCTCCGAGGAGTCTCCCTCTCCATCATCATCACTGAAGTCTGAGTCGTAGCCGCCCGCTCCGTGAATCTGTTGATTTCAAACACAAAGTTTTACATAGGGGCTACTTAAGACTTTATGAGATTTGCACATTTAAAACAGGCTTCCAAAGAAATCCTGTTTGGAACTTTCTGCACTTTGACCCAAACTTTAATTTACCTGCCAACCAACCAACCTGCAAGGTGTACCAAGGTCCAGGTTTTTTAAAGAAGCTTAATATAATAGGAGTTTAGGGATGAAACAATTAATCGGATTAATCGTGATTAATCGATTTTTGAAATACTCGTCAACTGATTTAGTAATAGAATAATCGTTAACTGGAGTATAGAGACTAAAACATGCTTTTAGCTGACAGAAAACCCCACTTAGAGCAGTAATTATACCAAAATAAAAAAAAATAATAAAAAAATTTTGAATTTAAGATAAAAAAATATATATATTTCATCTGTCAGCATGCTCTTTTAAGAACTTCTAAAGTGGAAAAGTATTAGTTTTACCTAGTTTCAATATATAAAAAGTCTTTAATGAATCTTTGGCTATCCGATTAATCGAAAGAATAATAGACAGATTAATCAATTTGCTAAAAAATCGTTAGTTGCAGCCCTATAGGAGTTGATGAAATTGATTGATGTATCAGACTTTTTTTTTTAGTTTCCACACAATAGATCTCTCTGTTTCTAAAATAATTAACAATCAGTAAAAAATACACAGCAAAGTGGATGGGTATAAAATGAAGTCGGGCGATGCGGTGATTAGGGCTGCAATTAATGATTATTTTGCAGATCAATTAATCTGTCGATTATTTTTTCCAATTAATTGTTTATTAATTGAATATCTAAAGATTCCTTAAAGAAGACATTTTATGAAATTAAACCAGGTGAAGCTAAAACTTTTCCACTTTTGGATAGAGCATATTGACAGACAAAAAAGTTTTTGTCATCTTAAATGCAAAATGTTTCTTCTCCTTTTTTTTTTGTTTTTACAATGTTGGTATAATTGCTGCTTAAGATAAGTTGCTCTGTCAGCTAAAGGCATGTTTTACAGCCTCTTTACTCCAGTTAACGATTAACCGATCACTAAATTAGTTAACGATTAATTTCAATAATCGATTAATCCTATTAACTGTTTCAGCCCTAGTGGTGATATGAAATGTGAATGTGAGTATCAGTCTAGTGCCATGGAAAGAAACATTGGAATGTTATTTCATGAGGATCTTGGTTAAAATTCTGATGGAAATTTCTGTACGGTTTGGCTCATCCTTAAAACAGACCAGGTCCAAACTGTAACCAACATTTAGATCCACATAGAGAATCAACGAGGTGACCTTCTCTTCAGCCACAACCTCTAAGTAGGGACAAAAAAGAGCTTCTCTGCTAAACCCACACATTCTTTTCAGAGGCTGCTTAAACTCTTACCTCCAGCAGGCACCACAGAGCACTAATGGCCAAATAACAAGCTGACAGATTCTTTCCCCAGGCTGTCTCTACCTCATAAATACAATGAACACCTCATAGCCAGATCAGTCAAAGACTTTACCAGAAACGATTCAGGAATTCTCCATCTTTTATCATTTTTATTAAAGGTCCTATATAAAAAGAAAAAAAAGACATTAAAGCCTTCCAAAATCAACTACAAACATGTATGTGATAAAGTATTTCCTTTGAAACTATTTATTTGTTATAAAATATTAACTTTTTTTTTTCCATCCCAGAAGAAAGACCCTTGCCTTCACCGCATTCCTGCCTCTCCCTGTGTTGCTGCCACCTATTGCATGATGTCCCCATATAACTTCTGTGAATTAGCTTGTTTTTTAGGATGCTGAACAAAGTCAGAGACCTCTCAATCGAAAAAACACACTCACAAGACACTGAGAATTCCTCAGGCAAACATAACCCAAAGGAAATGCCACTTTAAGCATGATTTCGATGTAGGAATAGGAAGAGGATTAGGGCCGCTGGAAAAAAAAAAAGAAAAAAGTTAGCTAATTTTTTAATTTTATTTCAGTTTAGTATGGGAAAAAGTCAGAATTCTGAATTTTTTTCTCAGAAATCTGACTTTAATTTCAGAGTTATGACTTTTTTCTCAGAATTCTGACAGATATCAAACATGAGAAAAAAGTCAGAATTCTGAGATTAAAGTCAAAATTCTGAGAAAAAAGTCAGAATTCTGAGAAAAAAGTCAGAATTCTGACTTTTTTCCTATGTTAAACTGAAATAAAATGTAAAAATCAGTTAACTTTTTTTTTTTCAGTGGCCCTAATCCTCTTCCGTATATAACATAGATAAAGCTCACAAAAGTTGATTATTTTTATAGTTTCCATTTAAGCCTTTTTTCAAAGCTTACTTTATCTATGACAAACTGTAATATTTACCTAATTATACATATTAACACATTTTCCCACACAATTCTGTAAAAAAAATAAAATAAAATTATATATATATATATATATATATATATATATATATATATATATATATATATATATATATATACTATATATATATATATATATATATATATATATATATATATATATATATATATATATATATATATTAGCCCTGGGAATGAGTAATGAGTGCCTGTATGGATGTTTGTCTTCTGGCGACCCTAAACACTGAAAACATCAATATTATTGAAACATTTAGAGTAAAACTAGCATTTTATTTTGAACAAATCCATAACTTCAAATGTTTTTCTACAGCTCATAATTACTGACACATTTCAAACATCTATGAGTTACTTTTGTTTCTATAATGCTTTTACTTTATCCAATGTTGTTAGTTTTATTTGGATGCTTTAACATTTGTCCTTCTGTTGAATTCTGTCCCCTATGTTGAATAGTGTATTAAGAAGCTGTCTGTTTTTTTTGTAATTTCCTGATCTTTATAACATTTCATCTGCGTTGTGTTAACCTGAATAATGATAATCACACTTTATAAGGATTCATAATGAGCATGTAAATAAAACGTCCTTCCGCTGTTGAATCACGTCGTCGATTTATATATGATTTTCTATGTCCGTCTATATATATTTGAATGATATAAAGGAATCTTCTCTACACTCATTTTTTTATGTTTTTATTTTTATTGTTTGACTGAAATGAAACTAAACCCATTTAGAGTTAGAAAACTAGATAGTAAAACGCAGTAAAAAGCTAATGGGCTAAAGCTAACCCCCGGACCAACGTATATTTCAAACAGAGCAGTTTTTAGATTAAAATCAATATTTTACCTTCACTAGATTATCCATGAGTTTCTTCAATAATCTCAGATGCCTCCTTTTGAAATGTTTACAATACGAAACGCTCGTCGACGAGTGATGACGTAGCGGACGAACCGCGATATGATGACGTCGAGTCTAGACTCCAGGAAATAAAAAAAAAACTACAAAAAATTTAAAAAACATGTTATGCAAAAGGAATATAACAAAACAATGTTTTAGATTTACGAAATAAATATTATTGTTTTATTTTTATAACCTAATTTGAAGCTCTGATTATTTTAGGTCAGTTAGTTGTTTTTTAGTTGTGTTGAAAAACGGGAATATCTCAAGTAAATAATAGTTTAATATCTTTTTAAAAAGCCGTTTCTACATTTATGCATATTATTATTTAAAAATTATTAACCCTATTAATTAAATTAGTTAATTAGTTACTTAGTTAGTTGGTAAAATAAGAAATAATGCAACCAATCAATATAATAGCATTTATTATAATTAAAATAAATGGCCCTACATTACATTTTTCATAAATTTCTCTTTTTAATTTATTTGATTCCTTGTAGTTATTTACTCAGTAAATAAACTTATTAATTTGTTATATACTTATCTATTTACCTTAATGAAAATAAATGCCTTATTTTGATAACTGTAAGAAGTTAGTTAAATGAGTAAATAAAAAATATTTTGTTAAAGCTATAAATGTCTGAAATGCAGAAATTGCTTTGTAAATCTTGATGGCTACAGCAAAAAGATAAATTGCCAGGTGGATCATCTATAGGCTATTTACAGTAAGCCTATTTAACTTAAAATTTAGCTTGAAACAGCTATTAAGGCTAAATTAAAAAGAAACAAATAGAAATAATTGAATACATAATAATTTAGACCTATATTTTTAAATAATTATCTATTTTATTTTTAGAGGAAATTGGTGCTTTTCTTTTGGAAGCATCAATGCCTCTGTTTTCTAATGATGGATTCAATGAGATGGTTGTAGGATTTCCAACATTTACGGTAAATAGAGGAATACAGAGAGAAACAAGCAACAAAGCCTGGGAAAATCAATTCATAATGACTTTTATCTACAGGAAAATATGCCTGAACTGAACTCAAATTAGGCTACTTTGAGGAGTATGATGTTCTTCTCCCCGGAGGAACAAAGGTCATCTCTTTGAACTATGGACAGAAAATAAAGAAAAGGCTACATTATACTTTTTTTTTTTTTTACTTAATTCAGGATTAAGATAGATTATTGGAGGTGAGAGTTCACTTCAATCTGGGAACAAACCTCCAGTGTTTCACCACTTTATCGCTGAAATCAACAAAAGACTTCCTCTGAGCTGAAAGGGACCCGGGATGACAGAAGCGATCAAAACACCCCTTGTTGTCTGCAGAAAACAGGAAAAATCGCCTATTTAGTTGTTTTTCCTCCATTTCCATGTTCTATGTAAATCATACAGCAACTAAATTGGAAAAAAATATTAAAAGATTTTTTTTGTTTTTTTTTTTAGCATCCTTAATGTTATTGTTCTGCAGAAGCAGGCAGGAAGGGGGGTTGGCATTTGAATGAGTGTGAGGCAGGTGCATTTGCTCAGAGCCTCATGAATAGCCGCTTCCCATTAGACACGCACGGCTCTGTGGCGCGCATAAATAATAGCTGCAGCGGGGATAAAAACGCGCACCTAAGGGCTGCTCACCCCTCCTCCTCCATCTCTCTCTCTCTCTCTCTTTCTTTTTCCCCCATCTAATGTCTTTTCCTCCATATCATTTAAAACTACTTATTTGAGGGAAGAAGACAGAATATAGGCCAATCATTCTTTCTCCTTCCCCTTTCAAAACAAATCCACTGATCTGGCTGAATAAGCGAGGCTGCGTCAGAGCGCGTGCTTGGATCATAACAAATAAATAATCAGCAGCAGCATCGAAGTCGACCTCACTGCGTTTTGGATCGTTTGCGGATTTTGTGTTTGTTTTCGGTGTGGAAGTTTGACGCGCAGGATTATCGTGGACAGGGGAGGGGGAGATCTGGCGATGGGACGCCTGAATGGATGGAGCGTCCTGATGTGGGTCGCTGCTGCCTGCTTGGTGCTGGCTGATGGACGCAGATCCAGGCAGCCCAGATGTCCGGTTGGATGCACCTGCACTAAAGATAATGCCCTGTGTGAGAACGTCCGAACCGTACCTCACACTTTCCCGTCCGACGTGGTTTCATTGTAAGTCCTGGAATACTCTAAGATGTGAAACTTCAACATATCTTTTTTTTTTCTTAGCTTACAGCTAAGATCTGTAAATGACGTCACACTAATTTTGAGCATATTATAGCGGCATATAAATTCATTTTCAAACGATTGTGGTGTTAAATCCAGGCCCGGAGCTAGATGGGGGCCAGGGGTGGCCAGTGCCTCTGTAAATCATTGTCCTGGCCCCTGTGGCCCCTTTACTGAAGAAATAATACTTAAAAGAAATTTTAATGATTATATGCGCTGAAACAGACATGGTTACTGATAAGTCATTTGGATCTATTTCATTTTTTTTCTTTTCAAATTCTGTTTTACTAATTATTTAAAAACGATAAGGTGATAATTTCAGTGGTATTGAGATAGGATCCAAGTTTTCATCTCCTAAATTTTTTTTTTCCCAAAAAAAAAAAAAAAAAAAATACTAATTTTTGCAGATGAATTCATTAGTTTTTCTTGAGTTCTAATTCAGATTTTATAGAAATTTGTAATTTTATGTAATGATCGCAGTTCTGTTGGTTTTCTCTAAGGCTATGTTCACACTGCCGCCTGAAGTGACCCAAATCCGATTTTTTTGCCCATATGCGATTGAATCTGCGCTTTTCATGACAGTTTGAACAACACAGATCCAATTTTTTCCAATCCGACCCAGGCCACTTGGCTATGTGGTCCTGAATCCGATACGAATCTGATCTTTTCAAATGCGACCTGTGTGTGAACGGAACGCCATTAATACCCGACAAAGGTCAGTATTCTGCGTCGTGCTACACAGAAGAAAAACAACAACCATGGCAGATGATGATGATGCAGAGAGCAGTATTTATGTTTAATCATATTGAAAAGATTGAGTTTTTATGGTTGGAAAAGACCGCTAGATGCGTGCCGGCACTACCATCCATGTTTACTTCCGGAAAAAGAGCATGGTGACGTCATTGCGTCCTCTACTGCGCATGCGGGACGTTTTATGACTGCAGTTCACACAGGAGATCAAATACAAGTCGCATATATTTGGAAATATGAACTGCAACGCAAAAAAAATCGGATTTCATAAAAAAATCAGAATTGAGCATCAAGGCCTGCAGTGTGAAAGTAGCCTAAGTTTTCAGTTTCATCTTTATCCATGTTTTCTTTGTTTTCTAGCTTTATTGGTGTGTTCTGGATTGAAGTTTCTTAGGTTTTTCTTTGTTTGTCCTCTGTTGCCCGGTTGTCTTTTCCTTTCCCTTGGCTTCCTTGTCAGCTCTACTCACACCTGCTCCTTATCAGCTTGTTAGTCCTGCCTTTGTTCAGTCAGCCATAAATACACTCCCTGTGCAGTCCCTCAGTGCTGGTTCCTCGTCGTACTTCATTTCACCCTGGCTCCTCATGATTGTTTTCCCCTGATGTCCCCATGGTTCTGGTTTGTGTTTAGTTTTTATGTTGGATTTTTTTGGATTGCTATTTTTGCTGCCTGTGATCATTCATTAAATCTTCAAAGAACTCACCCCTGCCTCTCAGCCTCTGCGTTTGGGTCCTTGCAACAACCTCCAACCAAATCGTGACATTTTAACTTAAATTAAGCGCAAAATATGTAAAATTCCTAAATTATGAACGTATATTGACCTCATAAGAAATACAATTTTTATTAAACCTAATTGAATAGAACTTTCACTTTATGCAGCTCTCTTAATACATTTGAATCCCTTGCCCTGTTTTTTATTTCATGCTTTTCTGTGCCCCCATGAAAACACTATGGCCCCCTCCTGGCCCCCTGGTACATTTGGTCTAGAACCATCACTGCCCCTGTGGCCATTTTCCCCTCTAATACAGATGGTGGCAGCGGAAATACTCTCAAGTGGAATATTTAAAACATTTAATTTTTTTGTGGTTAATTATACACACCAAT